CATAATAATTTAGTGGACGACACCATAATAGTCGACGGGATGTAATTCCAATCTCCTTTTTAATTTCTGTATCTTTGTGACCAGAATTTCCTTTGCTATATATATTGGAATCAATGCATGTCATGCATGGATTATTTAATTACTTAGCTAGAATTCAATATAGTATAACTTCAGAATGAAGGCAGTACGTACATGCAGCAGCACAGTATACTACATGTGGTGTGAATTAGTAGCCTCTATTCACATCACATCATACTTATTGGTAAAACGTTCCATCATATACACATGCAACAGCCTATTGCCACTCATCAATCTAAATCTGGCCAATCCCACTCATACTTCTCTTGATAAGATATTTCCATATATGTGGAACCTGTGTGTTTGCACTCAAATTCCAACATCGAATTTCTTCTCTGAATCACCTAATGATGCCATCCCCAAGTTTATTATAATGTCAAAACCAAGTGGGAAAAATGTTATCCACTTAGCCGTAATTCTTTAATGAGAATGATCAATTTAGTGAAACTGATGTGCGGATCGAGAATCACGTGCAGTTTCTTAATTTATAAATTATAACAGGTCTCAGATCAGAGATGTTATGCGAAAGAAAAAGAAAGGGCGTATATTGAATGAGATTCATGTGACGTGAACCCCATTTTTATTGTCACTCAGCTTTCTTTTAATATCATGACAATCTAGAAGAGCATCTCACTACGTGCCTCATATAATATCCTGAATATTGAATATTAGTCACATTAATTCTTCTTGATAACTTGTGTACGTTGCTTTGTCGTCTCATCTGATCTCTTCTGTTATCTTCACTTTAAAGATTACCTCCCTGGCTAATTTATTGGAGGCATAAAAATTTAACAATTACGTGACTGTAACGACATCACTGGTTCTGCTAACAGAAGCTGCGGGGCGCTACAAGTGTATAACAATTAAGAAGCTTTTTATGGAATGAAACACGACGGAGAAATGAACAATGAAAAAAAGGAAAGGAAAGATTCGTTTCGTTCCTCTCCGCCTCAGGTTCTTGAATCTTGATTTGATATAACTACATATATCTCGATCAAGGAGTTTTGGCCACAGTAAAATGGATATAAAACTAGTGAATCACGGGCTGTGAACTGTTAAGGATGAAAGAAATGATGTATTATTGACCAATGGGGCGTGCAAGTATTAATTAGTGACCATGACAAAGAAAATTTATGAATCGTACGGTTCCCGGCTTTTGTATGGCTCTCCATTCTGTGATGTATGGAAAGTGCAGTGAAGATTCCAAGAGCTTGAGGACAAACAGCGGTAACTACCATCACTTACACTACTGTACTGTTCTTTCTTATATTTGCTCTTCCAAATGGTCCAGTTCTTTCATTTCAATCTAGTCTACGATCAGTTCAGTTTGTTGCCATAATTAAAGCGATTAAATTGTTTCTAGAATTTAATCATGTCATTATTGCAATTTGGTTGTTCTTAATTATGTTTGTCCCATGGATATCGAATCAACTTTCCCTCTGGGACTGTAATGACTAATGATTGTCAGAAGGAAGACATCATCCTAATTTTTTAACGAGAAAATAGATACACCTTGTTCGTAAAAGGCTGAGAAACTGGATTACAACATGGGCCAAAGCAGTTGTGATCTGAGTTTTTGTTGGAGGCTTAATAAAGAACGGGCCTGCTTTACAACTTGTAAGAGAAGGGGAATTGGGCCTACATGTGAGGATCAAATATCATGTCTTGTCCGCACACTATTCAGTCCGAAATTGAAATTCCTTTTTCCTTCAAGTTTCTGCCAAAATCTTCCAGGACGACATGACACCACACCACAAAAGGTTCTGAGTTCACCGACAGAAGTTGAGTTTACGGGCAGCTCACAACATAGTGTACTAATATTTTTAAATTTTTATTAAAAAAAGTATTCACATTTAATATTTAATCATGATTGTTTTGATAAGAAAATACTTGCAAGCAATGGAAAAAAAAAAACAAAAAGCTTTCAGGAGCAAATAATAATGAGTACTCTAATAACTAGGAACTCTCATCTCCTGCCAACCAACTACTCAATTCCATTTCACTTCTTGCTCTCTCCCAACACCCGTGTCCTTATTTTTTCCCTTCTAAAAACAACAATGTCGTGTTTTTTAATTAAATACATACGTGATAACAGTACTTTCATGTATTTTAATAAATCAAATTCTATTATGTTTAATGATTAACTCACTGTAAATAAATAAATAATGACGAAGGTTCCACGAATGGAATAAAATTTTCACTCGTAATACGATGGACGGAACGGGGGGAGCTTTAGGCCGCAATAAATAATGAATGGATAATATTGGTAACAACACGCATAAATGCCCCAACAGGACATGTGGTTGGAAGTACGTGCCATAATTTTGAACGTTGATTGTACTCCATCTTTATTATAAGATATTTTTTTTTATAAAACTACACATAGTAATAATGAAGTTAATTAAAGTATAAATGAATAATTATTTTCTGAATTTTAAATTAAATAGCACCACAGACATCAAACTTATTTATTATGTAAATTATTTTTTTAACCTTTTAAAAACGATACAATTTGATACATGTTGTTAACAAAAGTTCATTTTGGTTGTTAGTTGATTAAAAAAAATAAAAATTACATGTAAAGATCCAAAAATTTAATCATTTTCTATCATTTTTCAATCAACCAATAGTTGAAATTAATTTTTGTCAACAATAAGAATTAAGATTGCATCGTTTTTAGAAAGTTAAGGAAAAATTTGTATAATTAACAAATTTAATGTCTATGATGTTATTTGATAATTTGTTCATTTACCCTTAATTAAATACAGCTTATAAATTTTAAAAATATTCTTAATCAATGAGAGAAAAGGGAATAAATTTATTTAATGAGTAAAATAATGAGGGATAATGTTGAAATAATTATCATTAATAAAATTTTATTTTTATCAAAATATTTTATATTGTGAATACTAAAATCACTTTGAGAAATGTCGCATGGATTGGGACGAAAGGATTGCTAGTTTATCATTCTCCATTATTTAAAAAAAAAAATAGAAATAAAAAATAAGAAAAGCAAGTACATGTTTGTGAAATTTGAATCATGTGAGTACATGTGTAGAGATGTGGCAGGCAAAGGTGGATGCGGAGCGTCCTTGCTTGTATGGCTAAGCTCTTATCCATAGGACCTAACTGCCATTCAGGCCACTCACCACCTCAGCATTACGCGTCACTCATGTTCTCCTGCTTCCCTTTCCCTTCCTCACATGTTTTGCTCTTATTACAAGCCAAAATTCCACATCAACACCAAAATGATTAAATATTTGGAAAGTGATTCATCCTTACAACTCCTTTGCATATTCTAAAATTATCAATTGAGTTTCAAGAGATCTTGAAGCTCCGCTGCTGAATTGCTGTGGAATTTAAAGATTTAGTCTTGCCTTCCAAATATTTCTCTTTTTATTTTTAATCTTCATGCCCAATTTTCCCCTGCTGCAATCACCGCAAAAGATTTACACTAATGGGCATGGTGTTCGATTTCTTTAAATATCATTTTAGATTTTGATTTTTTAAAGTGTATATGGAGAGCATTGCTTGAAGAGAATAATTCTTTGAATGACACTCAGATTTCTTAAGAAATTAATTTTATAATTGTTAATTATAGAGATAACTTAATATACACACACACACAACAAGCTTTACACTAGTGTGAAAACCTGGAGGAATCACTTGTATCCTATTCCACAAGTAACTTCAAAAGTGGCTTTAACATTTCCCGATTCAATTCATGCACACACTTATCAATTGATTCTTCTCCCACCGTAGAATTCATTTGGTTAGCAATATTTAAAATTTGAATTTTGAAACCACACGTCTGATTGCATATCTCGCGACAATAAAAATATGAGTTACACCGTCTACTCTATTTCTAATGCTAATTAACATTTATAAAAGAAATCATGCTCTTTAAAAAATAAAAAGATATATTAAGGGGGTTAAAAAAAAAAAGATGCTGGATGAATAGAAAATGACAAAGATAAAGACAAAAGAGCATCTGCATAATTATTAATACACTGCAAAAATAGTCACTCTAGTTACTCCTGTGAGCCGTGAGAACATAATTCATACTATTATTTTATATAAATAAATAGAGGGATCCCTCAAGTCCAAGAGCGTGGAATCCCACGGCGACAGGTAGTTTGTACTGGTAGTTAGTTCCGAGTCCCAACAGAAGAGCCCAAAGCCAATCCAATGAACACAACACAATACCAGTAGTTGTCTGCGTTCAATTTTCCAGCTCCATCTGGGATCGGCATGCCCAACAAGGTTAACACAGTTAAACAGAACACCCATTAATCCTCATATTTGTTCACATTTTGGCTCACTCTAGTTTTGGCTATTCCTCACTCACTCCGTCCACATTTCTTTTTCCTTTCTCAAGTCAATCTTTCACGCCCAATCCTCTCGTCTCTTCCATTATCCCAAATTCTATGCCGAAATCTATTCTTAGAAGGAATTATACAGTTTGTCTTCATCCATTTGTTCTCCCAATGTTTTAATTTTATTTCCCATAGCATATTTCGTTTTCAATGCCATCTTTGCGTTTGTCGGTTAACATGGATTCCTCTCTCTCTCTCTCTCTCTCTCACGCATATAAATATTGGTAATCAGATTCCTGACATGATTTAGTATAACATTATTATTACCATTTAATTAATGCCTTCTTTGCTCTAAAATGTGATATTGAATAGTTTGAGAACCGACCAAAACAGTACTTGGTTAACTATACATCTTCATGTTATCGCACATCACCATGACTCATTTCCTAAACTGTTTACAAGATTCCCCTTTTCTCCTTATATATATATATATATATATATATATATAAACCACTCATATTTTTTGTTACCGTTGTAAGACAATTACAAATGGAAACGTAATTTTAATCAAAAGAACAATGCGAGAGGTTGCCAGTCCCAGCACTCTTGGTATAGATTGAGGGCTCACCATTAAAACTTATAAGAGAGGGAAAGCTCATTTCCCCAGAGAACCTTCGGATACAATATACAATAACATGATTAATATTAACGAGCAAACTCTGGGAAAACAAGTGCTCCAAAACTATGTACATGTTCCTCCGGTGTTCTGTTTCGAAAGAACATGGGTTAATAATCTTCTGACATTTGTACATATTAGCTAATAGCTACTGCTAGATCAAAACTAGATTACCAGCACTGATCGGTCTCCCAGCTCATTCCAGAGTGAGCATATCTGGTACGATATCCGGACATGGAAGCTATGTTTGAAGAAGTGAGAGGCCTGCTATTATTATGGCCATAGAGTTGTCTGTCATACAGAGCTCGCTTGTTGGGATCCGACAACGTGGAATAAGCAGAATGGATCTTCATGAACTCGGTGGCCGAGGTTTCCTTCTGATTCATGGCCACCACATCAGGATGGCACGTTCTCGCAAGCTTCCTGTAGGCGGCTTTTATCTCGTTGCTGCTGGCACCCATTGAGATCCCAAGCACATCGTACAGAGAAGCAGAGGAAGAAGAAGCCATGTTCGTGAATACTCTGTTTCCTCTGTTTTCAGTTGCAGTGTAAGAGGCAGCAATTTTCCCGGGAAAATAAACTTTCTGGACTTTGGAGGCTCTGTGATGAGAGGGTCGGAAGGAAGGTTGGACGAAGACGCTGGAGGAAGGAGGAGGAGAAGAAAACATTGGGTAAGGCTTGTGGCTTGATGAGGCACAGCCGGTGATACATGAGTTTATATAGAGAAAAGCGTATACATGTATTTGCAGAGATCGTGTACTCTACCAACGTAATACGCGGTTACTCGTGACGTGGTCGTGAACAAGGCAGATATGACCGAGGTTGTACTGTTTTGTCCTGATTTAAATTTAAGAAGAATCCACTTTCACCCTTCCAGGCGTGCACACACCTTTCGGTGGGTTGCGTTTGAGCTTAAAAATAAGTTGTAATTTCCAATTCACGTATGTTGATGATTGAAATGTTGATACTGATCTATTAAGGATAGAAATGAAATAGCGGCATGTGTGGTGTGGCGGTGAGATGAGAGTTTTAACGAGTTGTTTAAAACAGGGGAAGTCAAAAATTGATAAGAAGAAATTTTGGGAGATGAGAGACGATGAAGAGCGATAACCGATAAGGTATTTGGGTGGATGAGGTTGAGTTTGTGGAAGTTAATGTTTGGGAGAGGTTTATCCATTGGATGCTCTCCCATGCTGACTCAGCCTACTGTTCAAATGGATAGGCTTACTCTTTTTTCTTATAGCCAATGGTCCTACCTTTTTTATTTTATTTCCTCTTTCACTTTCCCTCCCCAAATTCTGTGGTATTTGAATTTAGTTTTCTATGGTATCCCTCCTTTGTTGTAGACTTGAAGTTATAAATAAAAGGTTAATTGAATCCTTAATAAACTATACTTCTTCCCATCCTAAATATAGTAACTAATTGAGCAGTCTTTTTGTCCTAAACATATATAAAATCTCAATCTATTTTGTCTCTCAGATTAGTATTTTTTATTCTCTAAGAAAAATTCTCACATCAACATGCACAAATAATAGTTCTATTTTTAATGTAAATGATTGAAAAAAGTGATATCTTATGAAAAATAACACACAATTTTTTATAAATATTTGATCTAATTATTTTTTAAATTTATATAAATTAGTTATATAACTATTACACTTAGAAATCAAGACTAATGGGTAAATAGAAAAGCAAAAGAGCAAAAATATCTTAAAATTTTTTTTCTAAAAATGCCTAGTAGTTTAAACTTTGTTGAGAGTAATATTATCTTAGAACTTTTTAAAATAGTTTAATATTATCCTGTTGTTAACTTAGACTACTTGTTGATTGTTAAATATGATATTTTAACCTAACTTTACAGGTGTCATTTTTTAAGCTATTCTTCTCCTCAGTGCGGATTCTAACGACTGCAAACTTTTGCTTCTCTGCAACCCACCATCACTACCATTCCTCGCTTATTCATCACTATCGCAAGTCTCTACCTTTCGCTTCTCTGTCTTTGTTTCATTTCATTGTTGGAAGATAAAATGACTGTTCATCAAGAGGCCAAGGGTCAGCTCCAGATCCTCCTCATCTTTCTCGCTTGCCTCCTCTAGCTTCACCTTCATCGGCAAGTGATTCACAGACATGAATCTATGCAATTGCAACAGATCTTGTGGGAAATTACTAGGGGTTGAAATGTGCCTTTTTCCTCCATTCCCAACATCCACCATTGGCAATAAGCTTAATGGATTAAAACCAACCCAAATGGCTATACAAATTATAGGTTGATTTTGGTGAAAACTAAAATAATTTGAGGATAATCTAGAGTCTGGATACATAACAAGAGAAAACACAAAGAAGGAAGGAATACATAAAGAGAGGATAGTGGAGAGAATATGAAAAGACTAAAAGAGATCAAGATCAATGACTATGTAATGTTGATGTGTCACATACATGAAACAATGAGCAACATCTTGTGATTTAATATTATTTTATAATATTATATTTTTTAAGGGGGACAGTTTCATAACTCATAAAGCATTATGTGATGCTTTAATAGAAGAGAGTGCACGATTTGAAGCACCCACTAGTTCTTCCCTCATCACAACCACACTTCAAAAACCAAATCAATCTCTTCTTCCGTCGTGGGTTCCATTGAGGTTGGGTTTAGTTACAAAGATTCCTTGGGAATGGATCAGTTCATTAGAGAGAGAAAGAGAGGAAGAGGAAAAGTGGTTCTAAAGAGAATAGAGAACAAGATCAACAGGCAGGTGCAATGGATTGTTGAAGACAGCATACAAGCTTTCTCTATTGTTTATTGCTGAGGTTGCCGGAGAGAGCAAATGTAGAGAGAGAGAGAGAGAGGAAAAACAAGGGGAAGGTTTAACATATGACACGTGTAATATATTGGTCAAAATATCAAATTTAACAATCAATGGTTAGTCTAAATTAACGGTGGAACAAGTTTTTAAAAGTTTCAATGTAATATTGTTTGCAAAAAAAAAATTTAAAATACTAGGCACTCCTAAAAAAAAATTTTTGGGACATTTAAGCCTTTTTGTCCTAAATAGAACATCAAATTGTGGACCCTTGTGTTTTGGGCTCCAATGCTAAACGTGGATAAGAAGCATTAGAGTCTTAGAGAAGACTATGTGAACTCAACAATACTTGCTACATAATTTAAAAATAAGTCAGACTACTCGTTATTTATAAACAATCTAATTTATTTAAAAAAAAAGTAGTACATATAAGCAAGGCGTAGAAGAGGGTGCAGTCTCCACTAGTTGAAAGGGGCAGGAGCGACCTCTAGTATAGCCGGTCGTGATTTCTGAGACGGAACCTTTAGCAAAAGCAAAAGCGACCTTTTCTCCTGATTTCATGGGTCACCCAAAAAAAAAAAACAAAAAAACAAAACAACTGAGCAATTAACTCCAGAATACGTGGATGATCTGTTTAAGTCAATCAATGTTTAAGAATTACCTGATCTCCCTGTCCTTATCTTTTAACCAGCGTGATTTTTTCTTTTTTTTTTTGTCATAGAAAATTGAGATTAATATCGAAAGACACTTGGCTCAATTAATAAAGAGAGTTACATTGAATCAACTTATTTTAATATATTGAGTTTATGGTTTTGGACATGCTTGCAGTGAATAAATTAAATATGATAAATGCATTCTGAAGGTATCCGTGAGGCAATTATTAGTAACAATGATTCTTACATAGTGAGAGTTCATATTAGTCTAGTAGGGTAGTGGCAACTGATAATATTTCATGTTTCTTAGGATACCGATCAATGGAAAAAAAAAACAAAAATGGCAAGATTAATAATTAAGCTGGTGGTTAAAGCAATAAAGATAGCGATAATATTATATGTGAAACATAAAATATTAGGGCGAATAAATGATGTTTTACTTGCGCAATTATTTAAAACAAAATGTATGTAGACAAATTGAAGCATCGAAGACTGATTAATTGACAAATGCCAATGGGTATCAATCCCAAATACTATAATATCTACGTAATGAATGGGTCTTATCCAAAACTTGATCTTGTGGTCTGCATAAAATAAGGTTGAATTGTCAAATGAAGAGAAAATAAACAGAAATTGGAAATTAAGGGGCCCGGAGGTTTAATGTCACACACATGTCCACCGTCCACTTCAATATCAAATAAAATAACACACTTATTTCCTTGAATGACAACTGAAAACCGCAATCATCGTATTTGTTTCCTTTCAAAAACGATAATGAAAACTGATTAATGTGCCAGAATATGTTTGTAATCCCTTCCTCCATTCCTGCAGGCTACACCTAAACGGCTAAACCAATTATTTCTTCTCCTAATCTTTCTTTTTATAAGAAATTTGCCAAAATAAATCAAGTCTATGACACTTCTGTTTGACATACTCTCCCGGATCCTTGTATAACGAGCCTTCTAAAACAAATTAAATTAGTCCAAAATAATTAGGTGTCTCCTTATAATATCAAATATTGTTTAAATAATATCCTATGATTTTAATAGTTTTATTGTAATTTAGAACAATGCATGATGCAGTTCCATTTAATCAATAAGGGTATAATTGGAATATTGATATGTTTTGAACAAGTAAAAAATCTAACAACGACTTTTATTAATCTACGTTAAAAATGTCTAAAACAAAGGGAACAAGACGGATTATATTTTTTTCACCAAAATAAGAGGGATTTTATATACTTGCTTTCGTCATGCATGTAGAAGTTAGATAGTTAATTTACATAAATTAAAAAATTAAGTTAGTTATTTGCAAAAAAAAAAAAGGTGTGGGTTCAATATCCCTTCTGTTAATTATTTGCATTAGGAATAGAAATTTTGTCTACCGTGCAATTAACACACGCACGCACGCACATACGTAATCATTATATTTTTTTTAAGTGTTCTTATTAAATAGATGACTTTATTTTTTAAAGTGAAATAATTCATTAAATAAGAGTAAATATGAAAAGATATTATTAATTTAAAGATAAATATCTATTTTATTGTGAGGTGAGATTCGATTAAAAATGCTATACATTTTTAATAGAAGGAGTATATTCTAGCGCACACAATATATATATATATATATATATATTTAGTATGTATATACATTGATATATTGACTGTGAGAGGTTACATTTTAATTTATTTTTGGAAAAGTCAAATAATATTAATAAAACAAAAGGTAATTAGAAAGTAAAAGTCACTAATAATAATAAAAAAAAAAAAGACGTGGTGAAAGAGTCAGAAGACCAAGAAAAAGTGTGCTTGGCTATAGAGATATATCCAAAATAGTAAAGCAGATGTAGAGGAAAGAGATTTGGAATGCCTCACGGTCCAACATTCTGTGCAAGATAATTTTCATGGTTACAAATGGGCAGCCCCTGCTGAAGTTTTGGTACGTGTGGATGTTGATGCATCGCTAAGCCAAATGAATAATGCAACATGTGGTGAGCAGCTAGGAGGTTTCTTTTCTAACCTAGGCAGTTTTTCTATAACTATTGCAGAGATTAAAGCCATTAGAGGGGGGATGGAACTTGGTAGAAAGTTGAATCTTGACAGGGTGAGGATTTATTCAAACTCTCTGGATGCGGCAAACATGGTGTATCAAGGTGTAAATAATTCTCATCCTTTCTATGACGACACAGCTGAAGTACAAGGAATGGTCATTGCACATAAGGACTACAAGTTCTTGCATGCTCCTAAAGAGGTTATGAGTTGTGCGGATTACCTGACTAAATTATTTCAGGATTTCTCAAACCCTAGATAGTCAATTTATAACAAATAAAAAATTACTATTAAGCTGGATCATTTAGATAAAATATGTATTGTCCAAATTAATGATTAATAAATTTA